ACCCCCTACCCGCCCCGCCATGCAATTTCACCCATGCATACGCCTATACGACAGGGGCAGAGCAACACTATGCAATACCGATCACACAGTAAACAGAAGAGTGGCGCGGGTGTATCTTTTTGCGGACTCAAGGGCAGGGCTGGTGCAAGGATTATTGTGTACACAGGTGAAGGTGCATTTTTCACACCCTCTTCCCATGGTGCCCTCAGACAACTGTCTATGCAGCCTTATGCTAGCACTGTCCCCCATCATATGTACATGGAAAGCATGTAGTGACCCCCATCACATACAGACAAGCAGCATGTAGTGACCACTCTCTCTGGACGTTCAGTGTTCCCTAAGACACACATGCAGCAGCTAGTACAGACACTCAGGGCCTCCCCACCAGACACCCACTGTTCAAGCTGCCCTGATTCAGGCTGTAATCCCCTCACCTGGCAGACTCCCTATCCCCCATCCAGGTGCAAAGGCCACCTTTGGCAGCTGCCCTTTGGGTCCCACAACAATGACTGGGCCCTGGGCAGCTGCCCCTTTTGCCCTGCGTTAAAGAAGGCCCTGGACACAGGGCTAAGGGTAGTCCCATGTTATGTGCATGTCAGGCCGGCCTCAAGCAAGAAAACAAAATAATTATTATAATAAAAATACTAATAAAAGTTATTTTAGTCAATATATAAAATATATACGATGTGGCACATTTTAGGTCATCTAAACCATTGGTACAATCTATGTCATTAAGTTGGGTCTCTGGTGATGAGGACTCTGCATATGGGTTCCTGGGTCTGCACACCTTCTGTAGCCATGATAAGGGGTCTATCTCCACATATTATATTAGAGGAAGTAGCAGGTGGATTGGGAAGAGTCTATCATGATACCGTGCACTAGGGTTGCCACCTGTCCAGGATTCACCCGGACAGTCCGGGTTTTGAATGCTGTGTTCGGGTTTCATGGTATCAGAAACCTGGACACAAGATGTCAAGCAGACAGGGGCAACCAAAATTAAGATAGGGGCTACTGGCCCCCCCCAGTCTCAACTATGATATTTACATATGAATGGGCGGCGCTATGTTCATATGAATAAGCTATGACTTATGCTCCCCAAAAAATGTCTGCACGTCGCTAGAGTGTTCGGGTTTCGCTTGAAGAAAAGGTGGCCACCCTACCGTGCACAGGTGCCCATCACCGCATGCAGCTATCTGTACAGGAGGACCAAATACTCAACCACACCAAACAAGGCTATGAACCTATAGTTTATTAGACATACCAAAATCATATAAACACAAGCAACCCCACAAACTAAATGCAAACAGCAGAATCACACACAGAGTATAACAGGTCAAGTAAATCTGGGGAGCAGGGCAACAAGAGGGGGAGCCACAGATCAGGAGACCCCAGGGTCCAAAGAGGCAACAGGATATAGGTTTTGGCGACAATACTGGGGCACTGGCCTCACTGTGAGAAGGGGCTAAATACCCTCCCAGGCCAGCACCAGGTGGAGACTTAGGCCTGGTTCACACCTGAACGTTTTGTAGCGCGTTCAACGCTCGACGAACGCTCTACAAAACGCTCAAACATCTAAATCCCATTGTATTCAATGGGTCTGGTTCACACCTTGCCGTATTTCCGCCCGTCCGAACGCGATACAAAACGGCTGACGCGAACCACGCGACAAACGCGCATATTCAATACGCCTAGGTGTGAACCCAGCCTAATCGCCGACAGCTGGGAGACACCCGCAGGTGAGCATCGGAATTGCAGGTTCTAGCACCACCCAGTGGAGGTCTGGTACCTGACCGCTCCTGGCTGCCTGGACACACCTGCAGGTGAGCACCGGAACCGCAGGACCTGGTTCCAGCGCCACCTGGAGGTGCTCTGGTCCCTGACAGAGTCCAAGGTGGGTGGAAGCAGACCTATAACCAAAGTGTGTGAGAATGAAGCAAATGGCAAACGCACTCATCAATGCGTCACCAGCTTTACAGCAAGGTGCACATGGAAGGGCTTTATCAAGTAAAACAACAAAAAGTTTCCCAGCACACTCACCAGCCAGCATGCAAAGAAACTTGTTTCACCGCTAAGGTTCAAAACAGAGGTTTAGATACACATATTCTGCAGAAAATGTGAAAGCTGCACAGCCGCGCCCAGGCACCTCCATATAGTGCGGACCTAACTCTAAACTATGAGAGTCTCCATCTTGGAGCACATGGGGCAAAAGATAAAATTGGGTTATAGGTCTGCTTCCACCCACCTCGGACTGGCAGAGTCCAAGGTGGGTGGAAGCAGTCCTATAACCAAAGTGTGTGAGAATGAAGCCAGGGACAATAGCAGGGATGTCTGAGTCTGAATATTCAGCCATCGGATAATGAGCGGGAAGGAGCCATGGATTGGTCTGTGATCGGCCAGTTGGAGTAATTGTTCTCTCTTTATCTCCTTAGGAAGAGCACAAGCACCTGAACAACATGTTGGGCTTAGAAGTTCGCTCCATGCTGTGTGTTCCGGTTATAAGTAAGGTGACGTCACAGGTGGTGGCACTAGCCTGTGCGTTCAACAAACAAGGTGGAAAGTAAGTGCACAGCAGTCAGCATCTCTACAATGTATATTTGTGGTCAGAGTCTCCCATGTCCCCCAGAGCGTAAGTCACCCTGACAATAAGATCTGAGGTGTGCCATGATCTTGGTGTCCAGCAATGCCAATAAGGGGGCATACTCCTGTGAAATTTAAAGAAGGAAGGGGAAGGGAGGCGGTCCGTCCGATGCAGGTGAGTCCCCCTCTAATAACGAGGCCACCGCCCACGACTCCTCCCACAAATGCGGCCAAACCTTTTGGCCTCAAACTTATAGCAGCGATGGGAACATAATTTGGCTTCTGAGGAGCTTCTCGAGTGGAAAGTCACCTTCTCTCAAACGTAACAGCTACATGATGGGCAGCCATGTTGCAGTTGGCGAAGGGCTGACAGCCAAGCACGGAGGAGGTTGGGGATGAATGGAAGGGCCCATCCCATTCATAAAAATTGGAGTTCTCTTTGCTTGGCGGTGCAGAGAGAGCTCTGTGGTTGGAGGACACCCAGTCATATGACTTTGACAGTTTACATGACTCGACTCCCCCCATTCATTATTTATTGTGCTCTTCCAGCTTTAGAATCAATAATTACTACCAATGTACCCCAGATGCAGCCTGATGATCACTGCCATGTTACCAACATAACCTATGCTGGGAAGAGACACCCATACCTGAGCTCAAGCCACCATTGTCTAACTTTTACCAACAAGTACCGCCCTCAAAGAGTCTGGGACCCATGCACAGTTGCCATGGCAGGTGACAGTGACAGTAGCTTGGTAAAATTTCCAAAACAGAATAAAAAAATTGTGAGGGGGGGTA